TCAGCAAAAAGTTCTACTCCTTAAAGTTTAAGTGTGACTTTAGTGTTTAAATGCATGTTTTATTAACTGAGGATTCCTGTCGTTCTCTGGCAAAAAGAAACATAGTCTGACACTGTCTGCCAAAGCAGCGCTGGAATGTTTTCCCGGTCACGTTTAACTATCGTGTGTGTGTGTGTGTGTGTGTGTGTGTAAAATTGCTGTCACTAAACTCAATGCCTCAATATGCTTTTTGAAACATTTTTTAGCAGCAGTGAAGAAAAAATATACAGATTTTTTTCTCACTCTATATAAAGGTCATGGTTAAATGCCATAGTTTTTTTCCACAACCAGCTGCATGTCGAGAATATCTCTTCATGTGTTTACTGACTGCATGAGATTTCCTGTTTCAATTAAACACATACTTTGAGCACTATACCTTCAGTCAGATGGAGGAAATGAATGCTATAATGCAGTAAAGACATTTATAATGTTACAAAAGTTTATATTTCAAGTATGCTGTTCTTTTCAACTTTCTATTCATCTTAAGAAAGAAAAAGAAAAGTATCAGTTTTCACAGAAATATGAACTGTTTTCAACTGATAATAATCAGAGAACTTTCTTGAGCATCAGATCCTCATATTAGAGTGATTCTGAAGGGTCATGTGACACTGAAGACTGGAGTAATGGTGCTGAAAATTCAGCTTTGATCACTGTATATAAATTATATATTCACATAGAAAACAGTTATTTTAAATAGCAATGATATTTCACAATATTATTGTTTTTTTTTTTTTTTACTGTATTTTAAATTAGCTAAATACAGCCTTGATGAGCTGAAGCATTTTCTTAAATAGTATTTTTCAATTCAACATCCTTTAAAAATATATTCAATCTTGCGTACTAAACTTCAGTGTCATCTAGTTGAGACGGGGTTGGACTTAAAATATTTCTGAAATGTAAAAATCCAATTTTGTGTTCGATTTTAACATGTTTATAGCGTAACTGTTGCTCGGTTGATCATTTTCTGATGCTGTTAAACGTGTTGCACCCTCGGTGAACTGGAACATAAGTATTTTTCAATAGTTTTCCAGTAAAAACATCTCAACATCCTTAAAAATATATCGAATATTAAGTATTAAACTTCAGTGTCATCTAGTTGAGACAATGTTGGGCTTGAAAGTATGATCATATTTCTGAAATGTACGATTTGTAGTGAATCTGTTGCTCAGTAACGCGGGTGACCGTATCATAGATGACCCGGCTCAGTTGGTGACACAGCAGGGATAGTTGTGTGAAAGTGCAGAGGAGGACTGGTGTTGGACTGACAGGAACAGAGGTCGATCGGGAGGGGATTTCTCACAGTCTGTCTGCGATCATGTTTGTGGCCTGAATCATCCTCCTCCGGCAGTGGGAATATCAGCAGGTGTTTTTCCCTCTGTTCATTCCTGCATATCTCTGCACTTCCCTCACTGACTCTCGCAAAACTCAAGTCAAGTCACCTTCATTTACCCTCCAGGATTTCACGATTGTTTTTTTGTGATTTTTGCGATCAAAATGACTGATTTTGTGGTGGTAATTTCCAAAATTAATTACCATACTGTAATAGTATTTAGTCCTTCCAGAAAAACGCGTTTTTTTGTGATTGTGTCGGGCAAAACTTGATTGATTACGCCGCCCGTTTTCTTTAAAAATGCGATGGAATATGCGGGATATTATGCAATTTTATTTGATGAAATTGCAGGAATTTGCAAAAATTGAGGGAACTTGCGGTTTGATTTGATGTAAATCGCCTCCGTGAGTCTGTCTGGCGTCGCGTAATTGCGTCACTTCATAACGTTCCCATGGAAACGGGGAAATGGCTGCTCTTGTGTGAAGCAAACGCAACATTTTTCAACTTTCTGCTAAGATACATGTGACTTTTTTTTGCAACGAAAATGCGAGGATTATGAAATTATGCAAACCCGCATATTTTGCACGGAAATCGGCAATTTATGCGGCGAAAGTGCGGCGTATTTGAAAAAATGCGGCCCCCGCATAAATATGCGGACTTTGGCTGATTTGGCATTGAATTCAGCGATCGCATCATTTTTCTGGAGGGACTGATTTACGTAGCGCTTTTAAGAATATAGACCAACCCGATCTCACGGCAATTCGTGCGAATTTTACGAGGTGGCTAATTCGTAACAATTCGTATGACCTCACTCGATTATGATAGAATTGCTTCTACTGTTGGGCATGTTACTTAAAAAAGTAATTAGTTATAATCACTAGTTACTTCTCACAAATAGTAACTGTTAAATCATTATAAAAGTAACTAATTACCAGGGAAAGTAACTATTGGGTTACTTTAAAAAAAATGTTAAAATAGGCCTATGTCAAACAACTTGGATGCACCCAATATTAAATATTTTAAATTAATGAAATGGACACTATATAATACATTATTATTATAAAACATTGTAATCTACACTATCATGGACACATGTGAGATAGATCTATAAAATTCAATATATTATTTTAAATATGGGTGGTGATGGCGCAGTTGATAAGACACATGCCTTTGGTGTGAGAGACACAAATGTGTCCCATTGACAAATTATTTAAAACGTTGCAGATGATACCAATAGGCTACAAAGATTATTATAATGCTGAAATGTGTAATTTATTTATAAACAAACTATATAATGCTCGGACACACTCACATTTACTCCTTTCCTTTCCTCCTGTTGCTGATCTCCTGGCCTGACGTGACTCAGGGTTTAATAATTATATTCATCATGACTAGTCTTTAGGAAAGTCCCTGTTTTTATCTCTTAACTTGAACCAGAGGCAGACGAATCATCTGTTCCCTTTGAATGTTCAGTGTGGAGAAATTATGAGGAAATATTTAATGAATTATGTCAAAAATTTTCCATGTTAATTTCCACGCCCATTACTGTAATAAGTCTGGATTTCTTATTATTCTCCATAATGATTTTCATTGTAATGAATCATCCTGTCTAGATACACAATGATGTTTTTATTATTTAAATCAGCATAAATTAAAACAGTCTTCATGTCATGATTTAAGTGTTAAACTCAAATCCTAAATGATTAAATGTAAAAATAAATATTGGAAGGCATAATTATAGGAGGCACCAATAAGCCGTATTTATTTATTCATCCATCCATTCATTTATTGTGCAAAAGTGTCAAAACAATGTGTGTTACTACTATGTTATTGACCATTTAAAGCTAATTTACTCTTTCTCTTTCTGGTACTAAAGGATACAGGACTGTCTGCGGCCTATGAAACGATGAGTGTTTTTCTCAGGGATGAAAATATGCAGTTTCATGATGCGATGGGAACACAGCAGGAGACCTGTGTGTGAAGGACAGCTGTGTATCCAAGACATCAAATAAAATAAATAAATTACAAATTCAGTAGACAGTCCTCCTACTCACCGTTCTCAGCTCTACACAGGTTTTCTGGCTTGTAACAATCTATAAATTGAAGTTTAAGTTAGGTTGATGCTCATAAAAATGCTGTTTCTCTTCTTTTCTGTGTTGCCAAATGAAAGTCTGAAAGCAGTTTGATTCTCTTTCAACATCTACACAAGCAAATCCAGGACACGTGTCCCTTCATTTAAGAGCTTCAGGTAGAAATGGCATTTCTAAACTTCTAAATGTGTAGTTTTATATTGTAAATAACCTCTTAAAGTTTGGATAAACTGAAATCTGCAAAGGTAATTATTATAGATTTAAGATTTACAATATATCACATTACATACTGTATATTATTAGTACATGAGTGCTCTGAAGTGACACCAATGTTTAATAATATGAACTATGGTCAGTTATTATAGTTAGGTGACTTTTTGCTAAATTTGAAAAAAAAAAAATTTGAAGAATTGCTTTTAGGAAAATTCTTTTGAGAAATGTCAACTTTTTTAGTTTAGGGTTTAATTCTCACTATTAACTAGTTGCTTATTATCCTGCATATTACTAAGATATTATATTGGCTGTTTATTACTTATAAAGCACATATTAATGCCTTATTCTGCATGACCATATTCGACATATTTTAATCATACCCACCCAATATCTAAACTAAACTATTAATAAGCAGTAATTAGGAGTTTATTGAGGCAAAAGTCATTGATAATTGTGAGAATTAAAACCTAATCGTAAAGTGTGACTATTTTTTCTTTTCATTTTTTTTTTTTTTTGTAAATCCGGCCACTGATTTAAAGGGATAGTTCACTTTGAAATTAATTTTTGGTATGTTTTAGTTTACCTCAAGGGCAGCCAAGATGTTGGTGTCTTTGTTTTTACACAGTATTTTCAATCTTGATATTTTTCGGTCAAACCGTTCGTGTCTTTCAGTCATATAATGCAGGTCTATGGTCACCACCTTAAGTCCAAATTAAACATGATTAAACATGAATCGTAAATGTATTTTTTTAAAATCCTAAGACACGAAACGAGCTGTTTGTGTGAGAAAACCAACAGTATTTATATCGTTTTTACCTCATGTAACCACAGTCACAAAGCGCCCGTGCCCTCAGATCACTTGGACGTGGCTGTGGTTACAAGACGTAAAAACTATATAAATACCGTTCGTTTTCTCACACAAACCACTCGTTTCGTGTCTTAGGACATCAATGTGTACTTACAGTTACGAGTCATTAAATCATGTTTAATTTGGACTTCTCTGCGCATGCTCTTTGAGGTGGTGACCATAGACCTCCATTATATGACTGATAGACATGAACGGTTTGACCTAAAAAATATAAAAATTGAAAATACTGCGGAAACAGACACCTACATCTTGGATGCCCTTGAGGTAAACTAAAACATACCAAAAATTAATTTCAAAGTGAACTGTCCCTTTAAGAAACGATTCCAGTTCTTGATGTCATATGTTCTTCAGGCCATAATATTGGTTCTAGGTCTGGAATCATATAATGGAATCAATCTGTAAAAATATCCTAATTGTATTCTATAACAATTAATTTTTTCGGAATTCTAAACTGTTTCAGCACAATCAACCTGACATTCTACAACACTGTCGTGTGTAAGCGTGTCTGGATGCTGGGGTGAAATCTGACTCCAGGTTTGGGAGGGAGAGCATCTGGAGAGCACCTAAAGCACTCCGCCCACCACTCCCAAACCTCCCGTCCAAACGGCTCCAGGACCGCCAGGACACAGGTGTGTGTGTGTTTGGACACAGGTGGGTGTGTGTTTGGCATGTGCTGGAGGCGTGATGCAGGTGTACATGTGCCAATTTGGGGCCGTCTAATCTGGAGGTGGACGCAGGTGTGTGGCTACGAGATAATGGGCGCTTGAGGGGTTTCTGTTCTTTGGACAAAATAAAACGTCCTAATCAGTTGCATGATAGGCAAGAGTCTCGCGTGATATCATGACCCTCGTGCACATGTAATGCAATGCCTTTATTAAGGGCAGGTGAGGCGGTAATGAGTCCTGCAATTATGTTCAAAACGCATAACGCAGTTTGATTTGATCCAGGTAACGCCATCGTTTTGGGAAAGGAGAATATTTTACTCATACGAACGTTCAATGTATTTGCATTTCAGATGATACTATAAAAGTGACATTTGGATGTTATGTGAGTTTATTGATGGTAAACACTCTTTATATTGTGTCTCATGCAGAATCAACAGATTAAAATGATATGAAAGGCGCCATGCAACATGCAAAACACATAATGAAGTCTACGATTCACAGGGAAAATGTTTGTACAATGTTCTTTTAAAATAACTTTTTGGGTCTCGGTCATCTAATTTCATTTTCACTTTAATTGAATGTCAGTTGCGCTTGAAAATATATGAAGGTTATTGGAATAGACATCAAAAATATTGCATTATTTTTTCAGAAGTTTTTTTTAATTGATATTTAATGCAATTATATTTAGGTATTTTAAGTGTGCTTTAATTCGTATCTCACTCTATATATGTTCTCTTTTTGAATATTTCTGCAGATACTGAAGTTATTTAGACCAAACTAGTCATAACAATGGTTTATTGCTAGTAAATGCACTGAATTACATTTTCTGTTTGTCTTGCAGGATCAACACTTTGAAATGATACGTAACTTGAAGCAGAAAGTAATGCCTCATTCACAGCCTGATGATGCGTGGAAAAGGTTTTTGCAATTCACTCTCAAATGACTTGTTTCCTCTTGATCATCGAACATGCCACTTTCAATTTTCAATCGAATTGAATGTCAGATGCACTTTTTGGACACTTGAGTTACATCATCAAACGACGTGACGACACTATTTTCTTAGAATATTTTGTTTTCAAATGCAGTTCACTGTAAAAAGATTTGTTATCACAACATTTTTTCTTTTGTCAAATCAACTTAATTTTTTTTAGTTCAGATAACTTATCATTTTGAATCAATCTCCTTCATTGTATTAACTCACTTTTTCCAGCTCAATCAACTTAAAATTTTAAGGCAACCAGGTTACTTATTTTTTTAAATATTTTTTTCACAGTATAGTGGCTTAAATGTCTTTTTTTATACATAATTCTGATTGGATACTGAAAATGACACGAGATTGTCAGTAAACACCCTGTCTTTTATTTTCTGTTTGTCTTGCAGAACCAGCAGATGAAGCTGATACGAAAGGCATCATGTAAATGTTGGCGATCTGCAGCGCTTTTATGGCGTCTGAGACACAGGACTAATTGTGTCCTCTGGTGAAGATGGATTTGCATGCTTTAACTTATGCAGCGTGACTCGCCTTGCTCTCGTACACTAACTCTGACACACACACACTCACTTTCAACCCCCTTCTGTTGAGCTCGCACGCTCTTACAATTGAAACAGACCTCGTGTATTTCCTCCTTTTCAAGAAAATGCCAACAGGTGGAGGTTTGATAGACCGGCCCAGACGCCAGATCGCACAGAGCAGAAAAAAGTCCGAATGAAATTTGCTGGAGCATGTGACCTGAACGGCCCAATGACACTCGGATGCTTTTTTTTTTTTTCAGTTGTGGGGAACGGTTAAACTTGTCGTCTGGCTAAGGGAGAAGCTTTTTCTGTGGGCCGCCACAACCACAAACCAAGTCTGCGACCGGTCACGGCTCTCTAGGCACTAGAGATCTGCGAGATAAAGATAGACGAGAGGGACTGAAGAGCACGAGGGGGGAGGGAGATGCGTGTTGATGTCATCGTGTGAAACAGACAATTCGCCGGAAAAACCACAGCGACACGTTTGCGCTCCTGCTCTTTTGCACAAGGGTAAGCATCAGTTAACCACAGGCTGACCACCGATCGCAATCGCCCGTGTCTGTGAACCATGCACAGAGTCCCAGGACCGAACCGCCTCTCTGGACCGGCTCAGGGCGACCACGGGTTCCCGGGTGTGGGTGTGTACTGCATGTCGGGGTTCGGGGATCAGCGTTCGGGCCAAGCCTCTTGCATGTCGTCATGCGTGTGTGTTCTTGCTCTTTGCAGGGCAAAACCGGGAGCCCTTCAAAATTCGGGAGCAGATCAAGTTGGAAGCGTTGGATTCGGACGAAGACGAGGAGATGGCCTCCAACAGCATCTTCGAAAGCTTCTCGTCGTACCAGTCGTGCTTCTCCAGGGGTGAGTGTCCGAGCCGGTGTTTTACTCTCTCCACGCCGATGTTTGCGCCAAATGACGAAGCTGGTTTGCAGTGTCGGTGGAGTACTGAAATCTTGTGGCTGAATCTGAAAACCACAGGTCTGTGGGTTACTGAGTACTGGTTAACCTCATTCAATGCATGCTGGACTCCGACGGGTTTCCCAGCTGGAGAAAAACGGAGCTGTGTCGGTTTTTGCATCGTGCCAAACTTACTATTGCTTTAATGTTTTTTAAGCTCATGTTGCTTATGCTTTAATAGTGGGAGAGGTTGTATTGAACGCTGAACCCTCAATAGAGTAATGAAGTTGATGTTCTCTGGCAGCGAGTCTGAAAGCTTCAGTGAGATCCAGGAAAAGAACAACAAGACTGAATTGAAGTAGAAACTGCATTGGCACTTTTCTTGAGAAATTCTTGTTCAATGAGGCTGTTTATTAAATATGTTTCGCCTTTAATGCACAAATTTTAGTTCACTTTTAAAAAAACTTTTGCTGATATGCATGTCATCCGAGATGTCCATGTCTTTCTGTCTTCAGTCGAAAAGAAATTAAGGTTTTTGATGAAAACATTCCAGGATTGTCTCCATATAATGGACTTCAATGGGGACCAAACGGTTCAAGGTCCAAAAGACAGTTTCAGTGCAAACTGTTCAAAGCGCTTTAAACGACTCCAGACGGGTCTTATCATGCGAAACGAGCGGTTATTTCAAAACTTGTTCCAAAAATGTAACTTTTCTAAGGACAAATGCTAGCCTTGCTCTATTCTGTGAGGCGCGTTTGTAACGTCACGTAATACGTAATTACGTTCAAAAGGTCACGGGCGACGTAGCCGGAAGTACAGAGTCAGTGTTTACAAGTTTTACCTTTTAATTCCTTTTTTGTAAACGGCGTTTGAGTTAGTTTCACGCTCAACCTATGCGTTCAACTTGTAAACACTTTGACTCTGTACTTCCGGCTACGTCGCCCGTGACCTTTTGAACGTAATTACGTATTACGTGACGTTACAAACGCGCCTCACAGAATAGAGAAAGGCTAGCATTTGTCCTTAAAAAAGTTACATTTTTGGAATAAGCTTTGAAATAACCGATCGTTTCGCATGATAAGACCCTTATTCATCGTCTGGTGTCGTTTAAAGCTGCATCTGAAATTGTTATTAACTGTCTTTTGGTTCTTGAACCGTTTGGTTCCCATCGAAGTCCATTATATGGAGAAAAATCCTGGAATGTTTTCATCAAAAACCTTAATTTCTTTTCCACTGAAGAAAGAAAGACATGGACATCTTGGATGACATGGGGGCGAGTCAATTATCAGCAAAAGTTTTTTCAAAAGTGAACAACTCCTTTAAACGATTCCAGACGATGAATAAGGGTCTTATCAAGCAAAACGATCGCTCATTTAATAAATAAATAACAAAGTTTAAGTTTTATAAGCTCAAACGCTCGCCTTGCTCTGTTCTGTGATGCGCGTTTGTGACTCTCCTGTTCAAACTCGTTCATCAAAATGAACGAATCTTTTCCCGAGTCAACTCATTCATTTCGTTCGTTGGATGAACCAAATGACACGAAAAAAGATTCGTTCATTTCGTGCTCCCATTAAAGACAATTCAAATACAATACATAGTATGGCACAATAATTAGCGTTAACACATTTAGAGCTTCTTCATGCCATGAGAAAGAAGTCCACTCTTGGTCTAAATCTCAGTTCTGTTTTTTTTTATATTATTCTGATGAAAACAGCTTCATGTGTATGCAGCTCTGGACTTTCCCTCTCATTGGAGGCTATGGAGTTTCTGAAGCGCTGTTTTTGATGCCTGTGGGTGTGTGAGTTCACAGCTGAGGCCCAAAGATGATGCTTTAGTTTCTTGCTCAGACTGAAAGGACTGTGGGTTAAGGGTGAATGGAAATTACCCTGGTTTGGTTAAACTGACTCATTTAGCGGGTCTGATGTCCTCCTCTCTGAGTGGATCATCTCACAGATGCTGTTAATTGGCTCTTCTAACTCACTCACTTCTAAATGTTTTAGTGTTTTTTTTTAGAAATGCTCATTCTAGATCCTGCCGTGAGATCATTTCTAAAGATGATGTTAATGAGGTTATGAGGTCTGGTTGCTTTACTTGAAAGTCTCATTTCAGCTTGTTTGCTTATTGGTTTGTCAGCTAATTAAAATGTATTTATCAAGTTCATTCTTAACTGAAAGTTGTGCAGGAGCTAGTCCTGTTAAAACTTAAACATTCAATTATTTATTTTTTTGTGAACAAATGTAGAGTCTCAGTTCAATTATTTCTAACTGTTTTAGTGTTTTAAATCCACATATGAAGCACTCGTGTTTGTTCTAGATCCTGTCGTGGGATCATTTCTAAAGGTGATGTTAATGAGGTTATGTTTTTACTCAGTTGCTCATTTCAGTTTCCTGACTGTCTGTTTCTCATACACACATGCATCTTGATGTGTGTGAGCGCTTTCAGTTAACACAGGAAGTTTATCAGTCGCACCCGATGCGTGTTTCTTCTTAAACACATGCGAACAGCCTCGATGTAACATCTCAAAAACGAGGCAAAGGCCACATGACTATAAATAAAAAAATCTTTTTTCTACTAATATACTTGAGATGTCTTTACGTGCATGAGTGAACATGCACTTCATTTGCTGTCATGTTTAAAACGTGATTTATATCCCATATAAAAACATTAGAGTAATGCATTTCATTTCATTGCATTTAATTTCTTTCTCATTTTATGTACACTGGGTTGTTTCAACCCAAATTTGGGTCAAATATGGACAAACCCAAATGTTGGGTTAATTAAAAAATGTACAGTTGAATGTGAAAGTTGGGTTAAAATTTTAAATTACATTTTTAACCCAACATTTGGGTTTGTACATATTTGACCCATGTAGAACTTGATTCACTCTAAGAAATGTTGGCTTGTTTCAACCCAAATTTGGGTCAAATATGGACAAACACAAATGTTGGGTTAAAAATGCAATAAAAAAAGTTGAAAGTTAGAAATTTCATTTTTAACCCAAAATGTGGGTTTGTCCATGTTTCATCCAAATTTGGGTTAAAACAACCCAGCATTGTTTAGAGTGTCTGTAGAACTTGATTCACTCTAAAAAAAAAATGTTGGGTTGTTTCAACCCAAATTTGGGTCAAATATGGACAAATCCCAATGTTGGGTTAAAAATGCAATTAAAAAAGTTAAAAGTTGAAGTTGGGTTAAAATTAGAACCCAAATTTGGGTCAAATATGGACAAATCCCAATGTTGGGTTAAAAATGCAATTAAAAAAGTTAAAAGTTGAAGTTGGGTTAATATTAGAACCCAAATTTGGGTCAAATATGGACAAACCCAAATGTTGGGTTAAAAATGCAATTAAAAAAAGTTAAAAGTTGAAGTTGGGTTAAAATTAGAACCCAAATTTGGGTCAAATATGGACAAACCCCAATGTTGGGTTAAAAATGCAATTAAAAAAGTTAAAAGTTGAAGTTGGGTTAAAATTAGAACCCAAATTTGGGTCAAATATGGAAAAACACAAATGTTGGGTTAAAAATGCAATAAAAAAAGTTAAAAGTTAGAAATTACATTTTTAACCCAACATTTGTGTTTGTCCATGTTTCATCCAAATTTGGGTTAAAACAACCCAGCATTGTTTGGAGTGTCTGTAGAACTTGATTCACTCTAAAAAAAAAATGTTGGGTTGTTTCAACCCAAATTTGGGTCAAATATGGACAAATCCCAATGTTGGGTTAAAATGCAATTAAAAAAAGTTAAAAGTTGAAGTTGGGTTAAAATTAGAACCCAAATTTGGGTCAAATATGGACAAACCCAAATGTTGGGTTAAAAATGCAATTAAAAAAAGTTAAAAGTTGAAGTTGGGTTAAAATTAGAACCCAAATTTGGGTCAAATATGGACAAACCCAAATGTTGGGTTAAAAATGCAATTAAAAAAAGTTAAAAGTTGAAGTTGGGTTAAAATTAGAACCCAAATTTGGGTCAAATATGGACAAACACAAATGTTGGGTTAAAAATGCAATTAAAAAAAAGTTAAAAGTTGAAGTTGGGTTAAAATTAGAACCCAAATCTGGGTCAAATATGGACAAACACAAATGTTGGGTTAAAAATGCAATAAAAAAGTTGAAAGTTAGAAATTACATTTTTAACCCAAAATTTGTGTTTGTCCATATTTGGCCCAAATTTGGGTTAAAAACAACCCAGCACCATTTAGAGTTTATGTAGAACTTGATTCACTCTAAGAAATGTTGGGTTGTTACAACACAAATTTGGGTCAAATATGGACAAACCCAAATGTTGGGTTGTTGAAAGTTAGACATGACATTTTTAACCCAAAATTTGTGTTTGTCCATATTTGGCCCAAATTTGGGTTAAAAACCAGAGTGTTGACGCAATATTATATGGCAAGTTGCGACAGTGCTTGACAACACTATAATATATCGAATCTCCGCTTTAGTTATTCCCTGACTTTACTTAGTTTGGACACATCTTGCACTCTATTTTCTTCACAATAACATTAGCAGTCGACTTCACGTCAAAGTAAAGCAGTTGTGTCCAATAATAGCTGCTCCAATCACTATATAAGAATGAAACAGGTACACACCCGTTTCCCTGATTACCTCAACTGGACAGAGGCTTTGCACGTGTGTATGTTTTCCCATGTACATTTGCATTTACATTTAATTATATGTTGCATACAGCCCATTTGCATCTGCTTTTATCAAGGAAAAACTATCCATATGCAGAGTTGAAGGACATGTCAACATATGCAAGAATGGAGTAGCGTACGTATATGCGCACTGGGTTTGTGTGTTTGTGGCCTTTTTCATCTATATCAGTGCACCAACCGACAGACACGTGCGAGGATTTACCCATATATCTCTCTGTGGTATCGCTTTATCAGATCATGTGTGTGTGTGTGTGTGTGTGTGTGTGTGTGTGTAACCCTCTCTATCTGTATCACTATCCATGTGCACGCTTGCAATTCTCAAATTAAATCCGCTCTTAAAGTTAATTATTTTTTGTAAATATAAGTTTGATTTGACATTCTGGCTTGACATGTTTATTAGTGTGAGATTAGTGTGAAAGCCGCTTTAAGGCCCGTTCACACCAATCTAAGATAAAGATATAGATCTAAAAAAAATT